CGGAAAAGCCATATGGAAATGCTGCATTTTATAGCAAACAGTTGGGTGATCGGGATTCACAGACAAAAAAAAAAACTCCTCACAGACATGATGAGTACAAAAGTGGGTATAAGAATGAGTAGAAACAGTTTTTTGTTCAACATTTGACTGTTTGGTATAAAAAGTCAAATGGCTGTTTTACAAATTGTTTACAGATAATGTTTTAGAATTATTACTAAAGTAACTAAGTCTTACTCCCTCAGTCCCCCTAAGTTTGGGACGGAGGGGTGTGGTGTGATTTTTAAGAAAAAGTGGAATTGTGTGGTTGATATTGAATTGATAAAGTGTAAATAAAGTAAGAATGAATTCTAACCACTCAAATGTTACCAAATATGGTATGAGACAAACTTAGTGGGACGGACGAAAAAGGTAAAACGGGACAAACTTAAGGGGACGGAGGGAGTATCCTTTACAATTGAATCCTAAATTCATACGGAGTAGTATTTAGAAAGAGTATAATCATTCCATTCAAAGAGAAACCCACATGGAATGATTATACATTTATACTCTTTTGCATATTCGTACATATTTGTTCATACGTACAATATAACTTTTTTGCAATAACCAAAATAATTTTTTATTCTAACGGTTCTTTTAATGATAACGGTTCTTTTTATTTGAAAAATATTCAAAAGAATAAATTTAATTTAAAAAAAGAAGGTGCATATAATATTTATCTAGTAATAAGAGTACAATGATTAGATTTTCTTATAAGATACCCAATCAAAATAATAGTTTCTATTGAAAAATATGCGATAAAAATGTGAGTATATTCAAAACATATGAGATGAAGATTAAAAATTAATTGATAAATTTTCTTATTTAGTTTTAAAATTGACATTTTAGATTTACTAATAAAATTGCCTTTCAAATCACATACTAAGTATAGTTGAGGGATAGGACTATAGAAGTTCAAGATTTAGTATTTTTTATTTGCATTGTTTTCAGTCTCAAATCAGACTACATTAGACTAAACTAGAATAGACCAATTTAGACCAAGTCAGACCAGATCGAATTTCGATAATTATAAAATACACAGAGACTAAACATTTACCATATCAGACTAGACCAGACCAACACGGTCCAAGTAAAAATATTCTCATTTATTTTGCACAAAGCCACAAATCCTCACCTATTAGGATTACGAAATATGAAGAAATTGCCCATTATTAGGTTTTTTATGAAGCAATTGCCTAAATTAAAACAAAAAAAAATATTGTATACACTTTTTTGTACACATTATCTAACAAAGTGAATAGTTTGTTCACAAACTAATAATGATTTATCTGTGAACGTGTCATGATTTATCTTAAATTTGAACATGTTAAATATCTATAATTATTTAGAATAATTCGAGAACATTGCGAATAAGTCAAAAAACAATACTCCATCCTTACTATATTAAATTGCCATATATAGTTTTATGGAAATATTTTATTACATGCACTACTTTCTTATATTTACAAATTTTTTCATGTTTTCATTTATATGTACATAAATTTTCTTATCTTTCTAACTTTCTATCCTATATTAATACATTTTCATCTTTATTGCAAGCTATTTAAATTTTCCTGCATTCATTAAAGTTTTTATTATATCACTTAAAATTATAATATTAATATCTTTTCGTTAAAAAGGGGAAAACCCTCCAGAACCTATACCCATAAATCTTAACATTTAAATGATAAACTAGTCATATAATTTACAAAATATAGTTTCTAGAATATAATAATATAAAAAAAAGACAGGAGAAAGAATAAAATGGAAAAAATTGCAAAATTAGATTTTTAGAATTAAGATAAACAACATCCAAGCCTAGTCCCAAACGATTTTTAGAATTAAGACAACTTAAAAACTAAATAAAATGGTATTTTCTTGCAAAAGCTAGAAAAAACCTAAATCCTTGACTTTTAAATAACTGCATACTTTTTCGACCAAAAAATGTAAAGTTGAATACAGGTGGAAAATAACAAAAAATCATCAATTAGTAACTCAATTGGAAAACACACATTGAAACAAATGGAATTTTATTGAAAAAAATAAGAATGACTAGAAATAAGTGATAGAGTATACGGAGTATGGTTTACGACCTCCTAGTTCACTTATGCCGTGAACATGACTGTTCGGTAGACCCTCTGAATGACCCTCTGCAGGCCCTTGACACTTGAGAGAACCCCTCCATATATAAATCAGCTTTTTGTACTATTTCTTAGTCCTTTTTATGTTATTTGGCCTGCTAGATCTAGCCTAGAAGCGAGCCCACATTTCGCCTATTTATACTTCCCTTTAGGAGCTTTTTAAGTGATGAATATTAATAATGTACATTTTCTTTTTTTGTCTAGCTCTCACCTCTCTTACAATAATACATACCGCTAATGATATCCCTCTATCACTATCTATCATTTGGTACTCTTGTTGAAAATTAGAACACATCAAGTCCCAACTCACCACCCCTCCAGGTAAGATCACATATCCCTCATCCGAAGCAACATCGGCTAAGCTTTGGATGGATATTACTCCTCGACCCAATCGGGGAACATTGGATACATCTTGTTCAAAAAAACCCTATCACAATGGAGGGAAATGAGATCCCCCAAGTCAAGTAAGAGCTAGGAGATCACATAAGCTAGGTAAAGAGGTGCTTCGGTCCAATTGGACAAAAATGCCCTCGCCTTGATGAATGTATGGCACACTCACATGCACCAATTCACAATGAGCAAGCCAATGATTAGCATGTCTCTCCGTCATATTGCACGCTCTTATATGTATTTATGTGTGCTTTTCTTTTCCAATATTGCATCAATATTTAACAAAGCTCTCAACTATGGTAAAAACATTGCTACTAATATGATATAGAAGGCCTTTAGGCCGGGATCACTGGTTGTCTAGCTGATTCAAGTCGTGTTTTGAGTGCCTTTAGGCTTCTGCTTTGTAGGGATATATACGAAAATGAAAATCACACTTTGTGATTTGCAACACTGAATCATATTGGTTTTAGGTTCGTTCAAATCTAGGGTCTCAAACACACCATACACAAAATTACAAATATCACACACAATGCAAGTAAAGTCAGTCATGTTAACAACATTTCTTTTAATGATTCTGTTACTTCTACCCCTAACAAGTTTATAGTCATGCAAATAATTTCATCAAATTATCATATAAATCAAATTAAACATACACATCGTGAAAGTTGTGATCTACTTGATGCTCATACACTTCATCCACCTCACAAAGAGTGCTATCCTCTAAAAGATTTTAGTAGAATTTTATTTAAACTGTTAACGCTTATAGGTCTGTATTGAAAAAAATTGAACAATGTTAAACTAGGGATGGACTGGGACGGGTTGACCCGACCCAGTCACGGCGCGGGCCCGATATTGTTTAGTCCCTTCCGGCCCGCTAATGTATAGGCCTAGTTCTGGCTTGGTCCCGGCCCGGTGGCAATAAAGGCAGGATTCAGGCTTGTTTTTTTGGGCCCGGTCCAGCCAGTCCCGAGCCCAATTGCACTAATTTTTTAAATTATTGTCCAATCCTGACTCGGTATTATTTAGGCATGTCCAGGTACAAACCTGCGGCAGTACTGGGCCTGAAATTTTTAGTCCCAACCCAGTCCCAGCCTGGAGCCTATCCCGACCCAAGTCCCAGCCCAGAGCCCGTCCCGACCCGGTCCATCCTACGTTAAACTCTTTGGAGATCAGAACAATTAAAATTCACCCAATAAAGAGACCACGTGACAAATACGACCATGGTCCTCTAACCAAATCACATCCTCCTGTTTAATATAATCCTGTTAATATGTGTAATTTTGTATGTTCGGCTTTTAAAGAGATGAGAAAAAATCGTGTTTGCATTTCCATCTTTAAGCCATCTTATTCTAGCATTTTGCTTGTAAAAAGTTTCAAGGTAAGAGGTGTAATGAACATATTCAATCTCGGCCATTTGAAGGAGGAGATTGCCCTCATCAGAAAGGGAGCTGGTGATATGATGATATCTTCTTCTAATGTAGAGAACATTCAATCAAGCTTTTTGTCTAGCATTACATGTACTAATTTAATGTTTTCTTATTTATAATCGTATAAAATTGAAAAGAAATAAATCAAATAGTCTAGAAAATGCAGATCGGACTGAATGATCTACCAAGCCAGTCCGTAATGAGAATCAGCTAATGCCGGTCTTGATTACAATTCCCCCCTCCCCATGTCAAAGCAGATCTAGAATGCAGTTTTTTAAACATTTTACTCTTAAGAAAAAATTGAAAGGGTTCTAAACAACCCCGAAGGTGAACGAGAACCAGACTTGAATTTTACCAGTAAAACGTGGCTAGCGATGTGAACCGTAACAAGAACTGATCTCTGTCCTGGCCTACTAGGCTTGTACCATGGTATATTACAAAATGAGATGATATTAAACCGTTATAGCATATAAAACGGATCACATCACAGTGTGATACCATCACAATTTATACTGGCCGTTACACATTCCCTGGACCATGCCCTCGACCCTAGATTTGATATTAAAACTATATCTGTGTCATGAATGGAACAACATTATACAATCATACAATGGATTATGGATAAAAGTAATCTTTTGTTTCTTCATAATCTGCAAAGCCTCCACATTATATTGGAAGAGGCTGTCAAAGCCCCCTTCATTATTAATTGTAGGGGCACATCACCCTGGCCTTGGAAAGCAGTAATGTGCTCATTTTAGTGAAAGGGCACAATATTTTAATTTTTACATCACATAATGCTTGCATTATATTGGAGATGCATAAAATTCTGATCATTACTTCACAAGAACTTAACAACATAATTTCTAGGAAGAAGGATAAGAAAAATGCAGCCAGGACAAACCTTATATATGTGGGAAGAAGTTAGAGAAGCAATTTTTAGCAACTAGGTTTGTTTTACTATGTGTCTATGTCTATAAAGTGACTTAGTGTAGAAATTAAGACTGTGCAAAAACATTCTTTGTAATCCAATTTCACAACAAAAATTGGATATACTCTGCTCACCACACCATATGTTAGTTCCCCTAATTGGTATTGTTGACAGAACTAACAAGTACATGGAAAAATCTGCCCACTGTGTAAATGAATTACATGTAAATCTGAAAAATGACTTGCTACAAAATTCGAAGTCAGCACACTAAAAATGGCCGGACTTGGAATGTATACAAACAAACAAATGGGCTTGGTGGCCGGGCCTGGTTCATTCAACATCCATTCTTAAGTACCCTAGAATTGCTCCATGATCATCGTGGAAAGCGATCTATAAGAGCAGCCACATAATAGTGGGTGGGGATCCGAAACCTGCATAGAGGGCAAGTATTATTAGTGGATAGACGCTCACGGTGGGGTGTGCGATCATCAAGTGACACCTGAAACCAGCGGGTGATGCAATTTGCATGGAATATGTGCTGACACGGCAGCAACATTGCTGCTCCGATGTCGGCCTCGTTACTATGCTCCTCCTCGGGGTGAAGCTCATCCAAACATTGGAGGCGAATCACGAGGCACTGCGGTTCGTACTGGCCAAAACAAATCGCACACGTTTTTTCTTCTTCATCTAACTTTGCACGACCGCCAAGCTGGAAGAAACCGTAGCCATTCTCCACTATCCTCGGCAGAGGCATTGGAGATGACGGATCATAATCACGGAGACCAGGCGGCAGTTGCTGGCCCCCTTTGCTCCCAAAATAATACCTTTTAAACCAGGTGTAGACCGTTACTCCCAATGTTACAGAGAGCTGAAAAGATACAGCCAGGCTAACCGAGTATAGCTTTGAGTTAGAGTTGTGATCGACGAGAGGAATAAGCCGATCACGACATCCCCTTATCATAACACTGGCGACGTAGTTATACGCTTCTCTGTAGAAAAGGTGCTCGAAGGGGGAGAGTACTTTGTCTGTAAATAAAGTCATAACTTCTTCTTCTTCTTCAGATCCTACCGGGAGAATCTTCTCCAAGTCAATAGTCCCCCCACATTCACCGTTCACGTCAACGCACTTCTCAAACCTATACAGAACTTTCTTCTTCCTGCCGCTTTCTTCACGGTCCAGCCACCATGTTTTAGAATAAGAAGCATACCCATCTTTCAGATATATTTTCACCAGAGACTTTTGAAGAGCAGGATCATCTTCTGTATCTATCTCCTCCACGCTCCACTTCATACCACAATGGTAGTTCCACATCGCTGCCGCGCGCGAATCAAATAGGAGTATCACTATGTATATAATGCGTAGTAAGATTGATCGATCAAATAATTGAAGTAAGTGGTGGTCACTGGTTTGTAAATCGACCAAATTTATAGTCGCCGGCCAAGATAGCACAAATCCTAATCCTAATACGTCTCTTAGGAATTGGGATTAAGAATTTAAGATAAAATTGCCCTTTTAGAAAGAAGTTAGTTGCCTAAAATAACATACGCACAGATAGTTAAAAAATTGGAGTTCATGATTTATTTATTTAGCACAAATCCTAGTTTCTTAGGAGTTGGGATTACGAATTTAATAAGAAATTCCTCATTAGCCCTTTTAGGAAGAAATTGCCAAAAATAAGACAAAAAAACATGATTTGTCCGTGTTTATTCACATACAAATAAAATAACTGCTCATAGACGTGTGTAAGATGATGTGTAGAAATTAAAAGCACCGGCAGAACCAGATATATTAACTTAACGAGCACTCAGCAGTCAGCACTGAGGCTAGGAGTCGATGTAAATTACCTATGGTTTGAATTATTCAATTACTAATATGTACTACATGTCGTTTGTTTTAGGGATGTCGTTTCATTCTACAGTTTTCTTTATAATTAGAGAGACTTAGAGTTAGAGTAAAAACCATTGTCGTTTAGCTAAGTGAATTTTTAAAACAAAAAATAACAACAATTCATCGGCTTCGTTCAGCAGAAGCAACCCTACTGTTAAGTCGGCAACTCAAAAATGTTAGTTTTATCATATTTTAACTGATTCAGCTAATTTAACCGTTTAAATCTAATTTTCAGAAAGTTCATTGACCATTTGAGCATATCAACCCGGCTTTAAATCTACAAATTAATGAATGCATTATGCTCATTTCTTTTTCTTATCACCTACAGATCATTTTTTTATTGGGATTCCATACTTCTTTATGACTAAAATGAAGTGTGCACATATTTTGCTGCCACCATTAAATCAACTTAAGATTAATCACAATAGTTATTGATAGTCATTATCCAAATCGCTTGGTATAGATTAGAGAAAAGTTTCATTATAGATGCATAGTATAACTAAGTAATAATCGCGGAAACAAAAGAGGGTGATATCAAATTGTCCATTCATTTACATAGATTTATAAAAGACATGTGTTTAAGCATTTTTGTAGCTGTTGTGAGGAAAATGTATCAAATGTATCGATTGAAAATGGCAAATGTTATTTTATAACAGGAAATGGAAAATTTGAGAAGCGTTTTTTTTGTTAAATTATGAATGCATGTTTCCATTGAAACACCATCACTAAGCAGTGTCACACACACATGTGTGTGTACCAACATCTGAAACAAATTAAAGACTATGGTACTCATACTGGAACTTAACGATAATAATATGGGTGGGCAAATTGATTCAGTTTGGCCGAACCGAACTACATCAAACTCAATTAACCCGAATTGGACACAAACCATTTACAATTCAATTTGACTTTGATAGTATTCCTTCCAAATTATAGAAAACAAATCGAATCAAAATTCGGAATAATCGAAAAAACTGAACTAAACTACTACGTATATTTTGTTTCTTTTACAAATATCCAGTGCACGTATTGTCTGCAGATTCAGACCATGAGACTATCATACAATGATACTGAAATGCATACAGTAGCAAATTGAAATTCACTATATAGACTATTTCTGTTTGTTTGTTTATATATATATATATATATATATATATACATATATATATATATATAGGGTGCGGTTCTAGTGAGAACGATGCTTAACGTGAGAACGTGAGAACACTCACAATTAACCCAGCGTGATACACAATTGAGCCCGTCAGGTGCACATTTGGGTTTAGCTCAAAATAAGCCTATATAAATAATGACGGTGGCATTTTAGTAAATACTGTGCCGAACGCGAAAATGTGCATTGGGCGAGCCTCATTGTGCATCATATTTGGGTAAATGTGGTGTTCTCACGTTCTCACGTTAAGGGTTGTTCTCATTTGATCCTAAATCTATATATATATATATATATATATATATATATATATATATGGGGAATTGTAGACCCAAGAGTCCGATTAAGTTGGAAGCTGGAGTCCACCTAATCCTTGCTCTAGAGTTCTAGGCTATGACTCATGGAAGGGAAACTTCTGGCAACTGTGATTTCCCTTTTTGAAACTAGAACTCCCAAAAACCCTGGGAAAAATGGTCAAATACACTCTCTTACTATATCAAATAGATCACTTCAACCCTTCAAAAAAAGCATCAGATCAATACACTTACTATTAGAAAGCAGTGTTCTAAAAGGCGTGAGGCGTGGCAAGGCGGCAAGGCCAAGCCTCAAGCCTTTGAAGCCTAGGCGGGAATAGGCGAAGCCAAGGCGTGAAAAGGCGTTTAAGATTTCTGTTGATAATTACTACTCCTCTAGTCCTCTGTCCTATATAAATGTTCTTACTTTTCTTTTTTAGGCTCCTATATAAAGGTTTGTAATTCCATTTTAGAAAATAATTAACAATCTTAACAACATATTAATCATAAAATATTAAATTTAATACATTTATAACATCACAACTATCAACACTAACCTCATTATGTTATATACCTATCAAAATTATTTCTCAAAATATACTCGAACTACTTTATTTAATTATTATCTAAATAATCGTGCCATTTTGTTATGCGAAGAACCTTTCAATGGGACATAAGTAATATTTTACAATAATATATGATAGAAAGGAATAGATATCTAAAAAAATATTATACAAGATTGAACTTAAGTTTTATTTTGATCAATATATATATATAACATTTAAATATATAAAAAAGATCAAGTACAAAATGATATAATATTGCTTTTACTACTCATTAGATTTCCTATATGAAATGATTATGAAATTGTTTCTTTAAATTTAATCATTTTTTCTAGAAAAAGTAATTTATTTAAAAACTCCCGCGTAGGCATCGGCTTTTTATATATTAAGAGTAATAATTATCATATAATAATGATCTTATAATTATTGTAATTGTAATAACGATTAAAAATAATTATTTTATAACAATAGAAATTATGAATACTCGTATATAATAATCTATAATCCTGTGATAATAGTACTTATGATTATACAATTATAGAACAATAATAAATGTTATAGTGTATATATAGCAATAATTATTGCATAAAAATAGCAACAAAATGTTGGTCACTAACATTTCATACTAGGATTATTTATGAGGTACTCTCTCTTAAGAGTAGTAGTTGAAAAATGCTTTTAAGCCAAATATTATTTGCCTTGCAACCAGGAGTCTTTTCTCGTTCATGATAGTTTAGGAGGTTACTTTTTCTTATTTTGTTGCATGCCACATTCCCACACCGGAAGGAGAAGAAAATTTGCTCCTTCCAACACGCTATAAAACAAGTCAGCCCCCTAATACTTAAATACTTCGCAACACATGTTCTACGTCGTAACTGTGCAGCCTTCATAGTTAAAATTTTACTTTTTAGTAGCCCAGCCCGCATTTGGTCACGCATAATGGGTATGCGGGGCGTATGGGCCACGCCTTCCGCCTAGGCCCGCCTTTGCGGCGCCTTTCCGGGCCTTTTAGAACATTGTTAGAAAGGCATCAATTGGGTCAAGTTACCTATTGACACTAGAGAAAGAAAAGAAAAAGAACAATCTGAAAGAAGAGGATAACACAATGGCAGTTACTCCCGGTTGATAGTCTGTTATTTAACTGGCTTGTATTGTTAGTTAGTTAGTTGTATTCTCTTCTAGACTCTTCTTTTCCTTTCTCTTGTATATATATTGAGCTACGATCAAATGTACAGATGAGATGAACATTCTATCTTCTTCCATTCAATGTGCGATTAGCTTTTCCCATCAAATCTACTTTCTGCAAGTTCTTTCCATATGATCTTTTGATAATCTAAGACGGTATCAGAGAGATTCTAACTATCAGATCATCATTATTCTTGATCATCATCATCTCCGTTCGTCTTAACAATCAAATTATATGGCTCCGACTTCAACAAACGATGGTGACAACTATCATCACTGGTGCAGATCTATGAAAATGAGTTTGATATCGCAGCAAAAACTCAGTTTCGTTGATGGAACGATAAAGATGCCACCAAAGGAAAACAGCCTATATCCTGCGTGGGAAAGAGCTAACAACATTGTAAGTACTTGGATCATAAAATCTATATCTCCATCAATCACTCAAAGCATACTCTGGCTTGATAAAGCTCAAGACATTTGGGAAGAATTGAAGGAAAGATTGTTAGAGATATTTTCATTATAATTGTGATCAATGTTACTTAGCTCTTTATATTTAGCATCTTAATTAAATAGATTAGCTAGAATAATGAATAGGCCTTTTAAGGCAATTTGTAATAAAAGGTTTTATACCTTTTTAGGTATGGGCCTCCTAGAAAAAGGAGCCCAAATGATTGTAAAACCTACCTTTCCCGTCAGGCTATATATATGCCTTAAGGGAAAGGCTAGGTTAAGCTTTTCAGATATTCTCATACCCTAGTGCCGCAGAGCCTATATCGGTGATAGAAGTTTTACGCTAAGTTTTGTTCATCATTCTGTAAACTTCTTCATCATTCAATGGAAAGCTTCATTCCCAGATCTATCTTCCATACATACATTCTATAGACTAGAAAACAGGGACCTAACATCTGGTATCAGAGCCAAGCGTGTGACCGATTGAAGCTTCTGCAAATTTATCGATCGATTGAAGACAGAAGAAATTTTTGCGCGAAACTCATTGACGAAGTTTTTTTTCTTGTTGAGCGATCTTCTGGGCTATTTTTGTTGTTATTTTTGCAGGAAAATGTTTACAGGAAAGTGCTCCTAGGATTGCAAGGATTCATTCTGTAAAAAAATCGCTCCAAAAAATTTGGCGTACAAGTTAAGCTGGAATTGAGCGATTCTGCATTTCGCGCAACTCCTCTGAAAAGAAGAACAGGTTTAGCGCAAAAAGGACTCCTGCGCGATTTCAACTGTGCGCATGTTTCTTTTGCGCGATTTTGATTTGAGCGAAATCTGAACGATTTTGGAGTTGAGCCGTCTAGAGCTGCGCGATTAACAGTTTAAAAAAAAGGGGGGGCCTCCTGCGCGATTTGGCTTTGAGCGAACTCCTGCTCGATCTGCTCCTTGCGCGAAGACGAGCGAAGTTTAGTTGCGCAAAAACATGACTT